TTGGTCAACTCATCAATCAGTCTAGTATGGGCGTTCATGATAACTGCATCATCATCATGAACATTGTTCAACATTGTTCAACATTTGTTATAACCATTAAATAACTCTATCCTTGTTCATATTCAAACTTAAAATTGATTGATAAAATGGACAATCTTTTTTTACTCTTCCTCTTCTTCTGTATCAATTTCACGTTTAATCATTTGTTGACCATCAAATTGCCATTAATTTTATGTTAATCATTATACTCTGTCAACGCCTTTTACTTGTTTTTCAACTACTTGAACTGATAGTTGAATATGGCATCAATTATTTCAATAAATTCAGAGTAAAACAAGTGTCAACTTGAACTTGTTGGCAATCATAATCTTAACCAATTCAAATGTAAATTTCAACGCTTAAATTAGAGTCATTTTAATCACTTAAAATTATTAAGTCTTTGCCTTTGCCTCAAGTTTAATCTGAAAATGCATTGTTGAAGCCTTTTGTTACTTTTTCAATTTAACCATTCGTTTCATTTCAAGTTTCATTTATAATTAACCATGATGAATAAACCCAGAATTACTTCATTTAATTATTAATATTTAGATGAAAGATTTAAAGATATAAAGGCAAGAAAAAGAGACAAGTAAAAGCAGCATGAAAATGAAATAATAATGATCAATCCAAAGCTTAACTCGTTTCTTTTTTCAACAAAATGAAAGCTCGTTGGCTTTTTTGTGTGTGTTGAGCATTTCGTTGAACTATTATTTATCTTATAAATTTTTACATGAACCAAAATGAGGCTCATGATGAGCCTCATCATGAGCCATCATCATTCCCTGATAATGATGATCATCATTATCATCATCATTATAACTGTGGATGATGGAAGATGTTGCCTTTTGTTTGTACCTCAAGTCTTTTATCACTAGTCACTGAATCAAGTGAAGAGTAACAGTGAAGGCAGAAAAAAAGAAGAACAAGAACAAGAAAATGAGACAAAAATTGTTTCTCTGAATTCATTAATCCTATTTCATTCATTCCCTGCTTTTCATCTTGCCATCTTCATGGACAACATTTTCAATCTCTTATAACTTTCACACTTGTTTTCATTCAACACTTTAATCTTTCCCTCTAATTCCTCCTTTTATCATTTAACTTTCAATCTTTTCATGATATTACCAAGTTAACACTTTTATAAGAGATTCCTTTTCTTAACAACAAACAAAAAAAAACAGAGTTTCCTACCTTTGAGAAAATATCATGAAAATGATGGCGACAGGCAACAAAAGTTATCGATCGATAGCAAATGATATCACTAAATATCAATGTTTAATACTTTTGTTTGCGTCTTTCACTTTTCCAAGGAAATGCATTTCACTTGAATTGCCATGAAAAGTTACTGGAAACAAGCTCATCTGTTTACCTGTTCATTTTGTACCTTTACTTTTTCATATCATTCTTATTGTAATCTTTATTACTGTTATTATCATTTGCTTTTCAATTCCTTTTCTTCAGCTAATTTTAACCAATTTTTTTCCCTGATAAACTTGCATTTTCATGGTTCCTTTACCTTCCTTTATTACATTCACTTAACATATTTATTCAATTGTAACTTGTAACTTTCCCTTAAATGTAATACAAACTTGAAACCCTTTTTAATAATCATTTAACCATTTGCCTTGCATTCAATTATATCACAATCTTTTATCTCAATCTTTCTCTATAAATGACTTTCAATGGTTTTCATAAACCATGATTATCAAAGAGAGTTGACATTTTTGTTTCAAATCATTTCAACGTTATTCAATGTTTTGGATAACATTTGAAATCTTTCTTCTTCTTTCATTGTAACTTGAAAACTCGACTCTCATTAAAACCTCTGAAAATTCAACTCATGATGTAAACAGTCAGCTAAAGTTGAATCTTGTCCACAAAAAAAAGTACGAGAGGAAACATTAACCTTTGCCAAAAATGTTTGCAAATTATTCTCATTTCATGGTAAACAGCCAACTTTGCCAACTCAACAGGGAGTTTCATTATTCTTTATTATCAACAATCAACTGCTTCAAATAGCAATTGTAACTGTGAACTAAACTACTCATCTTAACTAACATAATTAAATGTTGACTTTTAAAGTTGAACTGTAAAAATCAAACTTTGAAACTGAATCTAAAATGAGAAGGAAAAATTTGTGCATTTTTTTTTACTTTCATTATTTTTCACTTTGAAAATTGTGTTTTATTTCATGCCAATTTAATCAACATTTCAAGCATATTTTACCTTTCCAATTCATCTTTCCATGAGAGAGAGAAATAATTTTCCTCTTTTCTTTACTCTTCATGATAAATGAAACTTTAATGCTCATGAAATAAATGAAAGTATTAACAAAAAAATAGTTTACAATTTTTCTTAGAGTCTGATTTAACTTTACCAGTTATGCTACATCTATCACTTTTTAAGCTTGCCAATTCTGAACCATTGAATTGAACTCATAATTTCTGCATCACAAAGCAATTGATATAAAAAAAAGTTCTGAGAGCCAACAGAAGATGAAAGTAGATGAAGATTAAGATGATGTGATAAGGGAAGGGATGAAGATGAGAGACTGATATGAGATGAGAGAAACGATGAAAATAAATAAATAAAATTGATTTCCAGTGAATGTTCATAACTTGATACAACTTTTCTCTCGCCTGGTTCAGGTTAATATCATTTTTTGTCAACCTCTTTGATTGTCACTTCATCACTATCTTCATCTCTTTTCATGCACTTTCGCCTCATTTTTATCCATCTTCATCTTCATCTTTATCTTCATCTTTGTCTTCATTTCATTTCTCTTTTCCCTGAAACAAACAAAACTCTTCTTTACTTAGTCTTACCTTTTTTAATGGTTTTACCTGCTTTTTCTGGTTACAATCTGTATGGTTATCATCTTTTGATGAACAAACCTTTTCTCAAATAATATTTTTACATTTGCTTTGCCAATTCCCTGTTGTGAGATAACTTTCACTCCCAGGTTTTATCATTTTTCTTGATTTCTTTTCACCTTTTCAAACAAAACAAAGCAAATAAAGGATAGCAAAAACAAAATCTTATAAATCCTTGTAAATTTCATTGTTACTTTCAGTTTTGCAGAAAAAGCTTTCAAAATTTCACAGAATGCCAAAAATGTTGAAAATCTTGTCTCAATCTTCAATGAATCTTCAATGAATCTTCAATGAAACTTGAAATCTTTTCTCATTATATTATAAGATTCAATGGTTCCATTGAATAACAAACTTATAATATCATTGTTTTTGATAACATTTGATCATTGACAATTATCATTGGTTCAACCTTAAATTACATTAATTTGATTTCTTGATCATCTTAATCATTCCCATCTATTCCTGTGTTTGTACATCATCACCATTATTATGTTGATATTAATGATAAAAAAATACTCAATTCTCAATGTCACGTCAATGTTTCCAAGTCACGTCACTTATATAATATATATGATAAAAAAACGTAATCATAATAAATTTAATATAATAATAATATTCATCATATTCAAGTGAAAGGATAACTTGAATATAATTTTTGCTTTTACCTTCTTTTATCAACCATTTTAACTATTCTTATAATTGCTTGGATCAATACTTAACCTGAATTTCCATGCATTTTTCATCATGTTATATTCATTTATTGTAATAGATTTTAAATGCTCATTCAACCAATCAACTATGATAATCAACATTGGCATCAAACAAAAGTGAAAAAACTCTTTGAGATTTACCTTTAAAATGCTGGAAAATGTTTTCAAATGTTTATAAACATTATCAGTTGATTGCTATTAAATTATCATCATTTTTAAATCATTCACGTATCAACAGTTTTTACATGTTTGACATTGATCTCGATATCAACTGATCTATTTCAATATACGGAAGTTGCTTTTAAAACGATTGTTTCAGTTAATCAATTTTCCTATTTTCATGAACAATCAAATTAACCACACTTTTCTGGTTCAATGACCGTAATTGTCAAATGCAATAACTTTCATTTTTGCTATTCTAATTATTAATTAAATTTTGGTTAATATTATTGATTAAATTTCAATTCTTTTAATTGATTATTTCTTGATGAACAATTGGATAAATTGTTGTAATTTGGTTAAATTTGTTGCTCCAAATTGTGGTTAATTATGTATCAATAACAAGCCAACAAATTTACGGAAATTAATTCACTTATCTGTAGTTAACCAATTGATTATCATTTGTTGACCTGATTTTCAATCAGATTATTCAGTTGATCATTTAATTGATCAATAGCTTTTCACATTAATCAATTGAAAGTCTTTTCATCAATTGAATCGCTACAAAATCAACTAATTGTCCATCAATCAAATGATAAGTTGTTTTTTATGTTGAAACCAATACATTATCAAGTTGATCTGCATGTTAAATCTTCAAAGACTGGGAAGATGAAAAAAAGTGAAAAACGTTGTCAATTTTTCTTGTTGTTAACCTTTTTCTTGTGTCATTTCCATGTTGTTCAGTTTATCTGAATGTATTCATTAACTATTCAATGCTATTTTCTGTCCTTCTTTACCTTTCCATGTTCACATTTATTCCAAGCAAAAGCAAGTCCAACAAGATAAAAGTTATATTTATTTTCCTATTCAATGGATAAAAAGGTTTATCAGTTTTACCTTCTTTTTATTCCTGTTTGCTGATTCTCAATGAACAATTTCTTATAATAATATTGAACAAAAAGAAAACTGTTTCACCATCTTTATTACCTTTGTCGATGAAAAGGTGAACAGGTAAACAATGGAAATGTAGAAACTGAATCACTCAAAGTTAACAATGGCATTGTCATTGCATGTTAATTTGTTGAAATTAATTTTGACAAACTATTTGTTGACAAATCACAACAAAAAGTGTTAAACAAACGTTAAATTACAAGTAGAGTGTTCAATTACAATCTAAATCAACTTCAATATCTAATAAAACTTCATTTCTCATCAACAGTTATGGTCGTGAATACGCTGAGCCTTACCTTGGACACAGCATTGGACCTGTAACTGGTTACGGAGTAAGTATTTCAACCTTTGTATCTCAATTTGTATTTCAATTTTTGGACAATTTTATACTAATTTTCAATTATTTTCGCTCCTTTACAGACCTCTGTTTATCGTAATGCGTACAATCGATTTGCACCTTATTAAATCATGACGAGATGATGAATGACTCTTCCTTTTAATTTTAAAGGATCATAATTTTCCTCATATTTATTGATTTTATTGAATCTCGCGAAGAGAAATTTCTTTTTTTCTCTTCTTCTTCACCTTATTTTTCCTTCTTCCTTGGCATCATCTTTTTAATCAATTTTACCAAAAAGCAAAAACACAAAACCTTTTCAGTTTCAATCTCAAGATTAATGGAACCTCTCATCTCTTTATCTGCCAATATCTTGTTGCATAAGAAGAAAGCCTTTTAAGAAGATTTACTTTTGCAAAAGATGACTCTTTGTTTTGTAAACTTTACCTTTACCTTAAACTTATCCCATCTTTTTTCCTCTGTCTTCCTCTTCCTTATCAGTCTCTTTTTTGTTCCCTTTATGTGTCTGTCTTTTCAAGAAGACAGGCACAAAAACAAAAAGGATGAGGATGAAGATAAAAAGGTAACATCAATACTGGGCCAATCTTATGATCCAGTTGATTGAATTGAAACACCACATCAGATAATCTAAGTCATGTAAACCCAAAAAAATCGATTATCAATCTAGTAATACTCACATGAATACTCTGTCTCATTAGTTTATCATCATCGTCATCATGAAGCATCATGGAAACACATGGAGAAACACCATTCAACATCATCTTCATTTTTCTTCATCTTTTCTCTCCTTCACTCCTATTCTGATTCTCATATTTTTTGTTTCCTTTTTTTTATACTCACATCAACACATCAACCTTTTCTGTCTCTTGATAAATATCATTATACCAAAGATGAAAACTGAGATGATGTCAATTGTAATCAACTGACATTTATACCTGGTTAGACTCTCGGATCGTCCTAGGCAAGTTTGCCATGCTTAACTCTTATATTTCCCTCCTCATGTTTATCATGTTAAACATGTTTGACAAAAAAAAACAAAAATAAAGGAAAGATGAAACTTTCAAGAATCTTATATTTACAATAACAAATCAAGAGAATCTCATCCTTTTAAACAATCCCTTTGCTTTCCTCTTTAGTCTTGTAATTTGCTCCTTAAATCATCTTTTTAATTTACCTTTTCTTCATCATTTTCTCGAGTAAATTAATATATTTAATATATATTAACAATCTCTCTATTGGTATATATATTTACTGTATCAATATCTCAATCAATTGTCACCTTTTTTTCGCTCTTGTTTTTTCTTGTTTCTATTCTCATCACTGATTTATAATATACATGAAATTGTCTCTATTTAAAGCTATTTCAGATTTATTGGACAAAATTAAATTGAGAGACAAATTATTGTAAATGATGATGATAATTGTAATAATGATAATCATTTTCAAATTGCCCGGTTAAACCCAAAAGAGGTTGGACTTTGGCTTTTTACC